GTTGACTTCCTAGTCAAGGTACAAACTGCCAAGGACTCGAAATTCTTCACCCTCAACCTCAGTTTGTCGGCGGTAGATTTAGCGATAAACGACTCCTTGCTTCCCGTGTCAAGCAATGCCCACGTGCTCACTGAGTTCCCATTCTCTCCTTCCACTCTTACAGGGACCACTTGCAGAGCAGCGTTCTGCGAGGTGAATGCTGTCGGACTGCACGTCTTGTAGGAGGAGAACTTGGCAAAATGTACCGTACTACTTGTCAGGGTTTCACTGTCACCACCATTTGCCGTAATTACGTTCGCAGATACTCTAACCTGGTCCTGGTTTTGACCAGAAGAGGATGCCCTACCATCGCCTATCATCGTGTTAGCAGTTACTTCGTCTTGGTCTTGGCTTTGGCAGGGAGTTTCAACACAGTCCAACGCAGCGTTGTGCAAGAGGAAGTGATGTTTGTGTGGGCATAGGTTGCACTTCGATTTGGCAAAGCATTGGGAGAGGAAATGTCCCTTCCTCAGGCAATTAAAACAAAGACCTCTACCTCCAACAAAGACTCGTCGCTGTCTTACAGTCATGTTCTTAAATTTATCGCATTCGGCCAACTTGTGGGATGCCCCACAGTTTATACATTTAACTGGATGGCCTGTACCTCTTGGACCATTCCGGCCAGGCAGAGAAAGCTGCGTTGCTAGCGTAGTCACTCTACCGTCAGTTCTGCTGGGAGGAGGCACTCTCGAGTTTCTCTTGGCAGATATATTAGCGGCTCTGCCCGTTTCGCCAATTCGTCCGAAGATTGGATCATTTACAGCATCTGCGCGTTTCTCTATGAACTCCACCAGGTCTTTAAAGCTTGGCAACATCCCTCGCTCGCGGATCCGTTGCACTTCATCTCTCCATCTAGCCTGCTGGACAGTAGGCAGTTTGCTGCACATTTTCCCCAGGTTAGAGAGGTTCATTTCTGACAGGGCGTTCATTTCTTTTAGGGTCTCGTACAAGGTCCTGCTACAATCTGCAAACTCTCTCAGCCTTCTCTGCTACTGTTTGAAATGTTTGGTCCTTCAATTAAAGCGTCAACACATGCTTTGGCTATCATGTGAGGCTGGGCAAATCTTAGCTCCAGTAATCGTATAGCTTTCTTGAATCCACCAGGCGTGCCCTCGAAACCTGCCAGCGCCCTTTTTGCCTTGCCCTCGAGAAACTGCAACAAACGGGTCACCTTCTGTTCATCAGACAGATTCTGAGACTCCACCATCAGATGGAAACGTGTTTTAAATTTGAAGAACTCACATGGATCTTCGGAAAACTTCATCACCTCCAGGAGAGGCAGGCTAACGCCCGTAGCAATCAGATTCATGTTAGCGACAGCCCTCTCGAGAACACTAGCACTGTCAGTATTAATAAGCTTGGATGTAGCTCCACATTCACTGTTTGGCTGGGGGAAAGGAGGAGCCCTTGGAGTCAATGTTGATCTTGCGACTTCCTCAACAATTCTCGGAACTGGAACGATGGTACACGGCTGAGCGTCTTTCAGGCAAGACTCAGGAATAAATGGTTCAAGCTTCTCCATCACTCGCGGATCAGAGTACTATACTACCTCCTCCAACGCAACCGGCTCAGCAGATGCTTCATCGATGATGGGCACTCTTTTAGACCCTTCGCTTCCCTTGTCTGAATCCAAATGTTCATAAAAAGGTGTCCTTATCCGAGCTAAATCGGCTTCGTCCTCGGCCTCAGCTATTTCATTTTCTAACAGTAACAGCTGCTGTTTCAACTTTCTCTCTTTAGCTCTCTTTAATTGCGTCAATTTCGCTTTGGCCAAAACGCTTTCCACTGCGGCATTTTCACGTGATCTTGCACCACGACTTTAACTACGATCTGAACGTCTCGATTTTCGAGAACCAGTCTAAACAGAACTTTGTGCATCTCCAGGAAGACTAACACACTTTTCGGAAACACCTGGTTCCTTAGCTGAGAGTGCGCTGCTTTCTGTTACTCCACTCTGAAGTTCTGCAGGGGCCAGGAATTGCTCAATTAGAAAGCTGTATCTTTCGTACACTCGCGTCTGATCATTGAAGCGATCTATTTCATTCGATCTTTCACTATCCCCCGGTAAATGGCTTATAATTTCATTGTACACGAAACAATACCGCGCCCATTGATCCTGTAAACGACGACTCAGCTCCGTTACTTCGCTTGTAAAACGATAATCCTTGAGCACTTCGTCTAAACGGCCAAAAAATCTTTGTCATCTCGCCGAGGTGACCAGCTTTCGACCTTTTCCAGACCGTAATTCTTTCTTGTGGCACTCCATGTTCCCGAACGTCGTTGCTGTCGACCAAACTGTGCGACTCCATACGCAGAAATTATTTATTCATTTGCAGAATTTCGCAGAATCCACAGAATTTCGAAGAATTGTAAACTCCACGTTTAATTCCTTTTTTCTTCAGAGTTCCACAGCGTCGTAAATCAGCCTCTCTACCTATGTCGCTCCACGTCGCTTCGAAATTCTCTGAATCTTTTGCAAAAACCCTTCGCGAACTTTACAAACTAACTCAGATACTAACTGCAAGAAACTAGAGTTCAAAAGTACTTATTCATAAAAAAAAAGAAACGAAAAAGGTCACGTGCACGTGAACTTGCTGGAACTCGCATTGCTGGAATTCACGTGCTACGTTCTTAAATTATTTTAGTGGGCAGAAACAAATAAGATACGACATCTGGTATTTGTTGACTTTTATGGAAAGCAAATTCACTGTTAAAAAGTCAACTTTCTTGGAGGTTATCCAATATTTTGCAAGAGTTTTCAAACTTAAAATAATTGAGGTACCTTGGCCCTTAAAATTCAATGCTTTTTATGCACGCAGGAATGCAGAATTTTAAAATCTGATTGTGCAACCTCACATAATCTACTTTAATGTTACTATAACTGCATGGGTTCTTAAGTGTCCTCTGCCAAGTAATAAAGAGAAGATGCAAGAGATTGGGCCTATGGTTTATCCTCCTTAACCAAGAGGACTGTAAGGTCTGGCCATTAGCAGATGTTATGGCAAAGGCAGCACATTCTACTTAGTTATTTTAAGACCCTGAATGTTGGTCTGGCCTAGAGCTTAACCTGACAACCTCCCTCGTGGTAGTCCCATACTCTATAACATGAAGCAACGAGTACGGAAGAGTCATACATTTCATTCGTCACCTATTTAAACAACACATTAAAAATGTGGCCCATTTTAAAACTTTGTAAACCAATAAATCAATAGGAAAGAAATATGAAGAGTTGTTGTGTAGTTAGCTGATGGTGTAAATGGATGAGTGATCTATGTTTCTGAATGAGTAATTTTTTTTTATTTTTAAGCAGCTACAATAAAATTTAGAAGGGATACATACATGCATGACTTTGTGTTATGTCAGCAGTTGGAAGTTTCCAGCTGTACTTTCCTCTCTTCTAAAAGTAGCCTGCAAACAGGCTCCCGGCTTGGAGGAGCGCGAATCACCCCTTCCTCTGTCCCCACGTCTGATTGAATGGGGAGCCTGTTCGCAGGCTATTCTAGAAGGTGACAAAGTGAAAAGCAGGGGCGTAGCAAGGATTTTTCAAAGGGGAGTGGGGGGTCACAGAGGCTACTCACCATTTACACCGCTGCTCTTCCGCGTGTATCAGCGGGCTCAGTCGTATTAACGCGGCATGAAGGGACAGAGCTGAATAACGTATACGCAAGCGCCAGGTTTTACCGCGGAAACACGGATTTTGAGTCGTTCGCATGGTTGATTTCTACGGTGGCCCACAAGTGCACACCGAATTCAAAAACTCTACACAGAATTCCAAATGCCCTCACCAAATTCAAATTGCTCACACCGAATTCTAAATCTCTACACCGAATTCTAAATCTCCACGCCGAATTCAAATTGCCCACACCGAATTCTAAATTTCCACACCGAATTCTAAATCTCCACACCGAATTCTAAATCTCTACACCGAATTCTAAATCTCCACGCCGAATTCAAATTGCTCACACCGAATTCTAAATCTCCACACCGAATTCTAATTCTCTATACCGAATTCTAAATCTCCACGCCGAATTCAAATTGCTCACACCGAATTCTAAATCTCCACACCGAATTCTAATTCTCTATACCGAATTCTAAATCTCCACGCCGAATTCAAATTGCTCACACCGAANCGTGGAGATTTAGAATTCGGTGTGGAGATTTAGAATTCGGTGTGGAGATTTAGAATTCGGTGTGAGCAATTTGAATTCGGCGTGGAGATTTAGAATTCGGTGTGGAGATTTAGAATTCGGTGTGAGCAATTTGAATTTGGTGTAGGCATTTGGAATTCTGTGTAGAGTTTTTGAATTCGGTGTGCACTTGTGGGCCACCGTAGATTTCCTATTCTGTTGCTTCGAGGCATCGTTTTCCTTACCGCTTTTCATTTACAGAACAACCTCCAAAAATTTGGTACACCCCCTAAAAATTTTCAAAAATTAATTTTCTCCTTTAAACCTTTCGAAATAGGAAAGTGCCTTCAACGAAAATAGAGTTGCTGCTAATTTCGCTAAATTTTAGACCTAGGACACTTGAGCCCGCATTGTTGACCGCATACCCGCTGACGTAGTACTTCATTATTCAGCTCTGTCGCATGAAGGCCCATATCAATGGCTTTTACGGCCAAGATATTGTAATGGCGTTTTCGTCACCTGAATATTGTAGGTTGTTTGCTCTAAAGAAGACCTACCAAGGGGGGGGTCACGGGCACCCCAGAACCCCCCCTGGCTACGCCCTTGAAAAGGGGTTTTTTTTTTTTTTCAAGCCTTGAATTTGCATTCAACAGCAACAGTCTTAGTTTACACAAAGATACATGTCTATACCTCAAGTCACTTTTTTCTAGTAAAATCACTTGAGGCGTTCTGATGATGCAGCACACTTGTGATTGTTACGGTTTATGAAGGATAAATTGAATTTCAAGGTTGAAACCACAGTTTTTGATAATTTCCCTAATTGTCTTTTAACAGTATGTGATAGTCCGGCCATTGGTGTGGCTAGAGATGATGTAATTCCAGACAGCAGTTTCTCAGCCTCAACACATTTTAATGAAAAGTATCTTCCTTCGTTTGCTCGCCTGAATAGAAGTAAGCCAGTTGACCGCGGTTGGGCACCCAAAACTAAAAAAGATCCAGCTGACTACCTACAAATTGATCTCCTGTATGACTTTGTAATCTGTGCTGTTGCTACTCAAGGAGTCAATTATGTAGATGAGTGGACAACAAAGTACAAGATTAATTTATCCATGGATAGTTCCCATTTTTATGTTTATAAAGAAAACAATGCTTTGAAGGTCAGTTTGATGTAATTGAAACATCATGCTAAACTTGGTTGAATTTTTTTAAGTTTTAATAGTTTTTTTACATTTACTTTCATAAAAGTGCAAGGCAGGAGGGATCTTGGGTACTTAAAGCATCTGTTGGTTGATTCCATTGGTTGACATTTCAACTGAGTTTTGGAAAAAAATCAGCTGATACTCAGTTGACATGTTTCCTGAGAGTCAACCAAGTGTCAGTTGCCATGTTATTCGAGTTGGTTCACTGTCAGTTACCACTATCAGTTGACATTTATTGGTATGTTGGTCAACACTTGGCCAACACCTTGACCAGTAAAGTACTGGCAAGTGTGCTTTAAGAATTTTCTGCAGAATTTTGCTCTTTTTGGAGGAAACCTAACCTTACATAAGCCTTTTGTTTTCATTTAAGTTTCCTCACTGTACACATTGTATTACTTAAGCTTATCATGCCTCCTTGTAAATTTTTATAGAAGTGTGGCAAATAGAATTAAATATAAATGAATAAATTACTCCTGTGCAACCTTTATAATTTCAGGTCTTTAATGGTAACTCTGGGAGAAATGACATAGTAAAACATGATCTGAGGAAGTATGCATTGGCAAGGTTCATCCGTTTTATGCCAACAGAGTATTATGGCTGGAAGGCATTGAGAGTGGAAGTTTATGGAATGCTCCTATCCGCAGGTATTTACTCTATTTTCCCTGTATTGCATTAATGAAATCCTAAAAGTTTTGGGAAAATTGGAAGGGAATGTTATGATTTGCCTTACTTGAAAATGTTCTATAAAATCTCTTAACTAGCCTATACTGATACACTGAGGTTAATACTCTATTTGTATCAACACCTATATTTTTAGATAAAATATATGTTTCCCATACTATGCCTATCAGGATTCTGAGGAATTAAATTGTATATAATGGTATAATGTGTCCACTCATCTACTCAGGATCTTCTTTGCTGTGATCTTATTCCTGCCAAAATCAAACAAGTGGTGCAGTTTCTATTTTATTCCAAGTGCTGTTTGAGTCGTGTCAGAATCAAATTCTTTTCTCAACATTAATGTTTAGGTACGGACAAAAATATAAGTGAGTTGTGGAATAGTCCATGGTAGAACACTCAAAAGCATTGCATAACTGGTCTATGGTGGATGTTCTGTGTCTATAATCATATCTGTAAGGTATCCCCCCAAGGAAATCAGATCACCACTTAGTTCCTTCTGAAATTCCACTCATTTGGTCCATCAGGAATGCATGACTAGTCACTGAGATTCTTTTGATGTCAGACTTGGAAGAAATAGAAATTCAGACTTGTGACATTTTAGGGAGGACACAACTACACTGATAGAACAAAAACAGCACTTCATCATTCTTCACCACTTTCATCTGTCTTGACCAATCCAGTCCCTTTATAGGCACTCAAACAATGTGAATTAAACTGCAGATCTAAGATAATATTACGTTATAATAATTTTTATTCATTCAACAATCCAGGTCCATCACAAGCTCCAGGCAACTTCACTGTGACTGTGATTTCATCTAGCAGTATAAGAGCATCATGGACATCGCTGCCAGAATATGCCAGACATGGAGATATAACAGAATATAAGTTGTTCTTCAGAGAGCAAGGCACGGTGGACAATTCAAACATGGAGCCTATTGCTGGAGCTGCAACATTAACTAAAGATGTCATCAATCTTGAGAAGTACACAAAATATGAATTCCAAGTGTTGGCTGTTAATTCTCGCGGTGAGGGACCAAAAAGTTCTATGAAGGTTGAGCAGACACTGGAGGATGGTAAGAGGATAAAACTGATCAGTGTAGGTTGTAAAACATTTTACTAATAAACACTGGGCTTATTTGAATGAAACTGGAACATACATGTACATCTTGCCACTGGTTTACTGTATTGATATTATGCATGATATTGTTAGTTATTATAATTATAATTATAATAATAATTATTATTTTTAGATGGCTTCTGCAGTGTAAGTGAACATGTTAAAAAGGGCATTATTTGATTTTTACATTTTCTCTGCCGAAGGTCAATTTTATGAGTGTATAGTTAACAATTATTCCACGAGCACGCGTTGGATATGAGATGATAGATAGCCAATGAGGTGCATAGCACCGAGTTGGCTATAACCATCTCATATCCAACAAGCACGAGTGGAATAATTGTTTTATTAAAAATGCCCCCAAGAAAATATTATTTTGTAAGAAGAGACCGGATTTTTTAGCTCCCTTTTGATTTTAACCCTTTGGCTCCCAGAAGTGATCAACATGTAACTTCTCTCTATAATATCCATACAAGATCCAGCAAACAGGTAATGAGAATCCACAAGCTCATCAGTAAGAAGTTGGTACCTTGATTGAACACCAAATTCTTGTAACCAATTTACAAGGAAACGTGTATCAGCTAGAGGGGAGAATTCACAATCAGATCTTGGGAGTTAAAGGGTTATTAAGCTGACACGTACACCTACCATATTTGTAGATTATGGTATATACCATAATGGCTGAACCAATAAAAAGTCTTGAATTGCATTATCCAATGATCCAGTTTTAATAATTATAATTATTATAATAACTTTCATCTTCCATTTCTTTACTATTTTAGCACCAAGCATTCCTTCAAACCTTTCACACTCAGAGATAAAGCCAGATAAACCATTTGGTCCAAAGGTAAAGCTTACTTGGCATAAGCCAGCAAAAGAAAATGGAATTATCAGAAGTTACACTGTGTTCTATAGTCACAATGAAGATCCTCATCGGATTCACACTAAAACGTTAGGAGAAAATATGTTAAGTTATACTGTAGATGTGCTAGGAGGGGCCACTTATCAGTTCCACGTCAGAGCTGTAACTATCAAACCAGGACCAAATGCTACTAAGTCTGTTCAAACTAATGAATATGGTAGGTGTGAGTCTGAAAACATTATAATTAATTATATAGACTCATTATAAACTGTTATTTAGTAAGTACATAGAGGGTGAGTGATATCAAGATAGACAAGTAGAGAACAGCTGCAATATGGGTACAGGAAGGATTCTCCTTATAATTATCAACTCCAAGTGCTTGCCAATGTAGTATTGAAGGTCTCGTGAACATGATTGTATTAAACAATATGAATGAATGTGCTTACAGTACCTAAAATATAAAACTGTAGTGAAGGGTGAAGGAATGGACATACTTTTCTTATCAACACTAAGTGCTCGAAATGAGTTTCAAGCATCTTCAAATTTAATGTCTTTAACATCTTGAAACTTGTTTCAAACATCTCAAAACTTGACTCAAACATCATAAAACTCAATGTAAGCCTCAATCTCCAAAACATTTTTTTTTAATTTTGACAACTTACTATTTATTTGAATTGCTATGTGTATATTTTTATTTCCCTTTTCAGAACCCAGTGTAGCACCAAAGGATGTGTTTTCCAGTACACTTAATCAAACAACCTTCAACATTTCATGGTCACCTCTGACAAGAGAAGAAAGTTATAGCAAAGTTACTTCATATGAGATCAAGGCATTTCTTAAGTCTTCTGGAGATCGACAAAAAAGGTCTCCAGACATCAGCAAAACTGTTGACACACTAAGAGCATCTGCAATTCTCTATGATATTCCGCCTTGTTACAGTGTGTCTGTGCGAGCATATACTGTTGCTGGTCCTGGACCATTTAGTCAACCCTTACCACTGGAAACGTTGAGTGAGTTTCTTTTTTTTTGTAACAAACTAGAACATGTAAAAGTTTGCTTTGAATTCATTGATTTAGAATGGGTAGCTTAGTGTTTAAATTCATTCAGAATCATCAGCAAACGTTTAAAAGCAAGGTAATGTAGAATTACTTGAAACTTTGGTTACAGCTTCATTTGGCTAATGAAGAGTGATGTCCAACATATTAACACCTCCTTTCAATTGTGTGTCCAAGGAAACAAGTTTCAGTGTTTCCCATAACTTTTTCACAAGCTGTAAAAATATTGTTTTTAAATTGTCACATTCAGTTTGTCATAGTGACTTTTTTAAAATTTATTTTTATTCTAATTACAACATGGATTAATATTGTGCATACAAAGAAAACAACAAATTTACAGAAAAAGTTCAAAAATAACAGTAGTACTAAATATGTACTACACAGAAGAAGAAACTTTAAAAAAAAAAAATGCTGTGATACCTTTATTGTTTTTTTTCCTAATATGTCAAAGCAGCATGGGCTCCCAACAAGCTAGGAGCAACAAACGCTCAGTCAACAGAGATGACATTGGAATGGCAAAGACCCCAGACTGCTACTGGAGAAAACTGGAAGGTGCAGTGCTTTATTTTTTTTAAGTCTATACTTTACTGAAATGACATGGGTTTTAAAAGAAAGTTTACCACAACACTTTCCAGTTGCAAATCAGAAACTGTGTCCTTTTTGTGATTTTTGTAATTCCTAGCATAAAGAGTATTAATTTTTAATTAAGTACTATTGGTAATGACCAATGTCCTGATGAATAAGTATACCAGGGAATATGTAATGTGCCATTTGTATGGGTACAACAATATATGAGCAGCCTCTGTAATAGTTACTGTGACAGATCAGAGGAATTTCTTGACTTGTAAGCTGTCTGTCATTTTACATGTACATGTGACAACTCCTTTAAAATATGATGTTTTTTGTTTTGCACTGTGACCATGACAATGCAAGACTAGAGAGATTTTATTGGTAAATAAATTAAGTCAGATGTGGTATTAATTGGCATTTGACTTAACGGGTTTTTTTTGATTGTTTAAGGTTGAGTACTCTGGGAAAAAGTCATACAACAACAGCTTTTTACATGAAGGCAGCAAAGATGTACAGGGGACAACAAAATGTACCCTTGATAACTTGGTACCAGGTACCAAATATGAGTTTCAAGTTTATGGAATCTCAAAATGTGGAAACAAGGGATCCCCGACTTATTTGGAAAAGGAAACAGAAATAGGAGGTGAGCATGTATCTCTTAACCATGGCCATGTGATCCCTAAGAGTGACTAACATCTATTTTCTCCTTACAACATCACCCCTGAATCACTCATTAAGGTCAGGAGAATAGAGAAAATGATCACCAACTAAAAAAGTTGTTGATTTTCAAACAAATTCTCCTTGTCAGCTTCTTAGGAAATGCATGGAGATCAGTATGGAGAATATGCATACTGATCTTAGTGTAACAATTATGCTAATTATAATTATTATAAAATTTCTTTTTTTCCCCAGAGCCATTGGCTCCAGTTGTACCATCATTGACCATCAGGAAGGTTTCTGAGTCACAGGTTGAAGTTGAACTGTGGCCTGCAGAACAAAGAAATGGTCCAATAAGGTGACTGTTCTTTCAATTATTTTTTAGGTCTTGTATACAGACTCTTTGTCTTTAATATTTCAGTGATCTTTGTGATGTTTGATCAGAATAGTTGAAATAATCGTTTTCCACTCTTCCAGTGCTTATCAAGTCATTGTTCTGAGAGTTGTTGATGGTGTTGAGACGCTTCCCGCTGAGTATAAATCACAGTTAGAGGATTCAAACAAAGATAGCCTGAACTTTTATGTTGCTGCCGATATAGAAAATATTCCAGTCTATGAGAAGTCTTGGAAGTTCACCGTCGGCGACGGGAATCGATATGGAAAATTTATTAACAAAAAGCTTGAAAGAGGAGATGACTACATTATTTATCAGAGAGCCATAACAGAACACGAAGGCGTAAGTAACTTTTTGATACTCATGAAGTACATTACACAGAGCAATTCAATTGTTTCGAGAAACCAAAACCAAAGTAATCCCAACGACCAATCAGAACAAAGGTTGATGTTATCATTAGCCAATGAGAACTCAAAGTGAAAACAAGCAAGCTGCTTGTTTTGAATGTGATTGGTTGAAAAGGTGGCGAGCGTTGACAGTATTTGGTTCTTCTAGAAGACAAAATAGGTCGTTACATGCATTTTGCAAAAAAAGTTTGATAGTAACTTCCATGAATTTGATGTCCTTTCTAGGACGTTTATGGAGAGGTCAGCGAAGTCGCCAGGATTTCTGTTGAAGCAGGTAAAAGTTTACTTTTCTACAACTTGGCTGATGTTATGACGTTATTTCGCACAAGGGTAAAAGACTTATTTTAGACAACCTTGATAAAGTTCTGATCTTTCTGCTTCAATCGTAGCATGTTCACTGGTCAATTATTAATAATTCGAATTGGCTGTGTGACATCGCATCTTATTTTTGTGGGTAGTGTTTCTCGCAGTCAGGGTTCGAACCGGTCCAGAAAGAAAATCTGGAAAGACGGTGATCGTTGATTAAACATGCATGATATTTCAGGCATTTCTAATTTTTTCCCTTGGTCTTTGAGTCTGTCACGAGGAAAGTCGCGAAGAGTGATTGAGACAAAAGCTTTTTTTATGGTACAGTGTAAAGCCAAGACGAAAAAACAGTAATAAATGCATGTTTATCTTTTTTAACATTGTTTCCAGTCCAAAGTCGCAGATTATACTGTACATTTTACTTGGAAAAGTCGTAGAAAGAGGATTGGAAAGGAAAGGGCATCACCAATGTAGTACGAACCCTCTGTACCACTTTGAATTTACTTCAGAGTAGTTCTTTCAGAAGGGAATGTTTTTATGTTTTATTTTCTTTTTTAAAATCAAGGAGCGACTGGGCTAAACGCTGCAGCTGTTGCTGTACCTGTGGTGTTCTTGCTGCTCCTTATTCCGGCGGTTGTTGTTGCCGTGTTCTTCTATCGAAGGTGAGCTAGCACTGCTAGGAAAAGGTATACTCTTGGGGTATAGTTTTAGTTTTTCTTTCAGTTGGGGAAAAGATAAAATAGAAAAGGTTCGTGTTGCAATTGATCACTCCTTACAGTATTCTTCTTTACTTCATTCTTCTTCTGTTTACTTACCTGAGGCTTTCGACATTGCTGTTCCTAGCAATCTGCAGGCCGCTTGCCACATATGAAGTCAGTAATGGCTCAGGTGACCTTGCTGTTAATGGTGACGTCATCTATGCGTCCGTCCTCCAATAGATCATAAGAAAGAACCAATCAAAATGCATATGTAATTCAGCTTATATTATTTTTTTATATATCCCACGTTCGTAACAGAAACGAACAGCATCTTCAATTTTTTTTACCAATTAATAGGAGGAAGCT